AAACATGATCGTTTGATGGTTCTGACTGTACTTTAAACACACTCTATAATTAGTAACCTGGTAGCTGACGCAAGCAACGTGTTTTCACCGAGGTTCAACTTTAAATGCCAACCAGTGTGTTTGGGGTGAGGGTTTCTTTGGCGTCTCATGAGCGGGACTTAAAAGTTTTCCTTTGACCCTTGCAGGGTGGCACGCTTACACAATACGAAAACAAACTGAGGCTGGTGGAGATAGCTCAGGTCCCGAAAGCGCACGTGGATGAATTCAAGTCCGTGTCAAAATTCAAAATATTCAATACCAACAATTTGTGGATTGCTCTGTCTGCGATTAAAAGGCTGCAAGAGAAAAATGCTATTGACATGGAGATCATTGTTAACCCAAAGGTAAGCAGCTAGGAAGAGTTTAGAGGAAACGGACTCAAAAGAACTGTTTGTCTCTAGGTAACTCAGTGGGGACTGCTGCCTTCAGAAAGGAGCCGGTCGGTAACCGCAGAGCTCTGACTTACGCTCGTCCCCAGTTCCATGTGCCATTACCTGCCGGGTGTGTTTACGTAGAGTTTCTCTTCCAGACTCTGGATGGAGGCTTGAATGTCATCCAGCTGGAGACTGCGGTTGGTGCTGCTATTAAGAGTTTTGAGAACTCTCTGGGGATAAACGTACCTCGTAGTCGTTTTCTGCCTGTTAAGACCACGTCAGATCTCTTGCTTGTGATGTCCAATTTGTACAGCCTTAATGCTGGTTCTCTAACAATGAGCGAGAAGCGTGAATTTCCAACAGTGCCTCTTGTCAAACTGGGGAGTTCTTTCACAAAGGTAAACTCCTACAATTATACTTTGTTTTTTATCTCTTTGAATAAAAATACAGTCCATAGAAATAAATAAGTTACAAAGTGAGGTTTACGTTATCTACCTCTGCCCATCTGGGCATTCCCTTTTGCTCTTTGTAAAGAACTCTTGGGCCGTTAGAATACAAACTACTTAACGTGTGCAATGTCGTACCACTGTTGGGTGCTGCTTTACTGAGGTGCTGGAAGGTGAATTGGGCTGTGCGTGCTCTCTAGAGCTTGCCCGGCTTTGTTGGGATGCCGCCCTTACGGTCTCCATTCTTTCCTCCCTCCAAAAGGTTCAAGATTACCTGCGGAGGTTTGAAAGTATTCCAGATATGCTGGAGCTGGATCATCTCACAGTTTCAGGTGACGTTACATTTGGGAAGAATGTTTCATTAAAGGTGAGTGTTTGAAGGGGGCTGTTCCTGCTCCTTGGTATCCTTGATCCTGCCTAAGTCAGTGCCTTTATGCACAGTCTGTGGAAGCACTCTTGGGAGTTCAGGAACTGGCCTGAGGCTTGCAGAGGCCGAGGCTGAACGGTGCCTGTAAGGTGCCCCTTACGAAGGACTGCAAGGTGTTACTGCTATAGCTGCTTCTCAGTGTAGTCCCAGGGGAAGGTGAGGTTTATCTACAAACCTGGAAAACACCCCAGACCTTATGACTGTGTTCAACACAATGCTTATGCCTTTGTCCTTTAGCTCTGAGGCGCATACCACCTCCCCTTACACAATGCTTATGCCTTTGTCCTTTAGCTCTATGAGGCGCATACCACCTCCCCTCGTAAGCTGGCTGTACAGCCACAGGCCTCTTCTCATCAGTTTGGGGTTCTTGATTTATTAGCAAACATCAGAGCTGAGCAACTTGGTTTCTCTCTCAAATTCTTCCCTAGGATCTGGGCAGGCCTAGCAGAACACTCTCAGGGCCCTGTGAAGGCCACAGGTTGGTGCAAGGTGGGGCTGCAATAACCAGCACTTGAAGGGGCTTAGGTTGTTGCTGGACTGCACACTCACATGTGTGGATCTGTGCCCAGCTCTTCCCCTGTGGTTGCCTTGCAGCTGGAATGGCGGCCTGTTGAGGGGGCAAAACCTTTTCCCATCTAAAAGCAAGCAGACCTGATAAGACCACTTACAGCAAGCACAACTTGTCAAAGGTGGCATCAGCTCTGCTTGTAAGCTGATTGATAGTATCTAGTGTGCTGGTAATTACAGTCTTTCCAGTATCGCTTGTGGGGGGAAAAAATAAGTCTATGCAGAAACAGTACAGCTAAATGCACCCAGGCCCTGGCTGTGTTACAGCTGCCCCCAAACTGGTCCTCTGCTCATGTTCGTTTCCAGTCAACAGTTAATACAAAGTTTCTAATGACTTGTTTGCTCTTCTGCAAATCCAGGGAACAGTTATCATCATTGCGAATCACGGGGACAGAATTGACATCCCGGCTGGAGCTCTACTAGAGAACAAGATTGTCTCTGGCAATCTTCGGATCCTGGACCACTGAGTCAGGGAAAGGGCACAGCTGGTTCTGTCACCTGCTGTGCTAAACCAGCCTCATCACAGAAGAACCTTTTAAGCATTAGAAATACACAGAGGGCCTATGCTTTGTCATCTTCACAGTACCCTGCAGTATTAATTTAAAATTAATTTCTCTTGCTTATCTTTTTAAGCAGACACCTAGCGCAATGGATGTGCGTAGTAATGCTTCAGTCCTTAAAGAGATTCTGTAACTCAGTTAATATAACCTTGAAGTGCAATACTGTTTGTCTTGCGGTAAGATGGACAGATCTTCTTTGCTAAGAAGTGAAGAGGCTTGCCTCTAACATTTAGTAGTTTTGAATGGCTTGTAACTGCAGAAATAAAGCTGTGAAGCAACACCTGTGGGACAACACCGTTAGCTGCTACTGTGACTTTGTATGAAGAACAAGTGCAGGCACAGTTGAAAAACCAAAAGTTTCACTACTGCTAAATGGGCTGTTCAACCCCTGTATTTCATGTGCTCACACCCACCCCCAGCCCTCTTCAGCCCCCACCAGCTCCAAGTAGAATGTCCCATCCCAGCTGTATGGCAAGACACTGGGCTCAGGCTGTCAATACTTCCATTTCTGTATTGTGAGAGCAGGAAGCATCGGTGTTCCAAACTCGCCCAAAGAAGCCAATACTTGAGAAAAATGCCTCTGTATCTACATGTGGTGTTTGCTTTTTCACATCCCATTTAAGACTGGATCTCCTGATGATCTCCTGAGCTGCCCTCTTTTTTTTTTTCAATAAATGGATCATGTTGACTACACCCATGTTCATATTGTCACAGCCATGTATGTTAATTTATCTGAAGTCATTTCTAAATTTGTACAGGAATTGAAATCCCTGTCCTGATCACTATTGGTTTCTTAATGTTTCTCTTGTATTTACATGCAGACAACTTTATTTTATAAGCTTAGTATAACACTGGTATGTATCATTAAAGAAGGTGGTCTTTAAAAACAACCGTGATTTTATAGCTTTATTTTTGACTGACAATGAATGACATCTGTTATGCTAACAGAGAAGCATGCCTGTCTCAAGAACCCATAGGCACACGCACACACTGTAGACTAGCCCATCATACACAATCATCACAGGGTTAGGCACTCAGACTAGGGTTAGGTAAAGAGGTGTGAGGTGAAATACACAGGCACTTTTACTTAGTACTGGCAGTGTCCAGTCTTAAAGGTAGTAGTAAAAACTCCAAAATAAATTAATTTCAGTTGCACCTTCCTTAATGGTGCAACCTTTTAGAAGTAGCCTAAGAACTTAATGCTTCCTGCCCTGTTTTCTGTCGCCTCCTCTGTCTCTACGTGCACCACTTGGGGTCTTTGAAGCAGTAGAATGATTGGCAATGTCCTGCAATGCTCCCTGGCCTCGCCCTGCCTGCAGCAGCCATGCCTGCAGGAGCTGCAGGAAACCATCCCCACAGCAGCCTTTGTACTACCTTCAAATTCCACCAGAAGCCTGCGGTTATGTTGTCACTGCTAACAAGGATCTGATCGTTCCACAACTCCAACCTGTAGGTAATGGCTTCAGGGAACTGACCCTTCGTTAGAAAATCTGTTTCTTCAGAGGGCAGTTTGGAGCCCAGCTGAGAAATTCCCCGAAACAGGACTGCTCCCTAACAAATCTGAATCCTATATGCAAGCAATCAAAAGACATTTATTTATATAAAGTTCTGTAAAAAAATAAATTTTAGAACAGCATCGTTTCATAGAGAAAAACATTTTCTACAGAGTTCAAACTGCAGGATTTTTATACTGTACTATCATTAAATAAGGTGGGACACCATGTGAATTTCATTGCACTAGAAGAAATGCAAAGCATCTTTTTAATATAAAGATATACAGAGCATTCTAGACAACTACAGCTGTGTTACAGCTATGTGTTCTTTTGGATTTGGTCCAAAGAAACCTGAGTCTGTTTTCCAGAGAGGATGAGAAAACATTGCACAGACAGCTGATCGCTTGTTCCTTGCCGAAGGACACAGAGAAGATCGTGCCCTGCAGCTTGCTCTGAGCCTGGTTTCCCCGACTATCAATAGTGCCCCTGCTTGTACACCGGTCTTAAGTATTCACCTCAAGTCGTCACGCTGCTTAGAAGAAAGTCGGTCTGTTGTCAGAGCCAAGGGACTGCTCCCGGTGGATTATCATCTCTTCTGCTCCCAAATTTCAGCCATGTTTAGGTCTAAGTTGTTAAGGCCTTTCAGAGCTTGGAGGTTTCCAGTGTAAAAAGCTACATCTGAAGTAACCAGGCTGCAGTGAAACAGACAACAAGGTTAGCGCCTGAACCTCTCGTGTCTGCCTGGAGCATTCAGAAAAACAACCAGGGTTTGTTCACAACCTGGACACAGTTACAGCAGTGCACGTTCAACCACTATGCCTGGATTAGAGGTTTTAAGCAGCAGTTCAAAACTCAATGCTACGGATGTGGTTTATTTTACAGCAGTGATGGTACACAACATGATTACTGCTAGGTGTAAAACTAGTTATAGGGAAGGGAGATCAAACGAGTTCAGAAAAC